GGGGGAAGGGGGAGGGAAGGGGGAAGGGGGAGGGAAGGGGGAAGGGGGAGGGAAGGGGGAAGGGGGAAGGGAAGGGGGAAGGGGGAAGGGGGAGGGAAGGGGGAAGGAAGGGGGAAGGAAGGGGGAGGAAGGGGGAGGAAGGGGGAAGGGGGAGGGGGAGGGGAGGGAAGGGAAGGGACGGGAAGGGCGATTAGGCAAGCTGAGGACACTTAAATACCATTTTATAACAATTCACATGTATGCAACACATTATTGAGCAGTCTCATCAGTAGCGAGTTCCCAGCATTCGTCACTGTACTGAGATTATGTAAGAGAATGTCCTCGTTCTTTGGAAAGCCACTAAAGTACATAGTGATAAACAGACACATTGTCTCAAAATAAACTTCTGAATGGTTCAGAGAAATGCAATAGAAATATTCAGAGACATAAGACAACGCAAAAGCTAATCTAGCAGGATGGACCAGGGTAGGAGGCTGGAGACATGGCTCAGTGACTAAGAGCACTGAATTCCAGAGAATGCGGGTCTGGTTCCCAGCACCCACATGGTGGCTCACAGCACTCTGTAACTTCAATTCCAGGGGATTCAGCACTCTTTCTGGCCAGGCATACAGCTGATGCACTGACATACATGCAAGCCAAACACCCACAGCAAAAAATAAAATACTGATTTTTCAAAGTTACACAGGGTTCCTTTATATATACCATTCTTATAACTTTTCAGTAAATTAAGAATTACAGAAAATTTTAAAAAAAATCCTTTTTGAATTTTGTTTGCAGCATCAGGGATTGGACCCCAGCACACATGTGCCAATCAAATGCTCTACCACTGAGCTAAGTGTCCAGCCTCAAATAAAACAGTTGAAAAACTAATATAAACCCTTGGCCTCTGCTTGAACCCCAAGGCCCACACTGCCCAGCTACCTCTTCCCCTTCCCTGTATGGCAGCATGCAGTGGTGCTGCAGTAAGCGCCAGGCAGTGAGGGCAGGCATCCACACTGCTGCAGTGCCCTTAGGAAACCTGCCTGTCACTTCAGCAAAGCGGAAGCATGCAATTCCTGCAAACCAGGCACCGAGGATGATGACACTGGAAAACTGTGAGACCAAGGAACGACCTCTCTCTCTCTCTCTCTCTCTCTCTCTCTCTCTCTCTCTCTCTCTCTTCCTCCCTCCCTCTCCTCCTCCTCCTCCTCTTTCTCCTCCTCCTTCTCTCTCTCTCTCTCTTACTCTCGCTCAACTCTCACTTGCTCTCTATATATCTTGCTCTCTCTCTCTCTCTCTTTTACTCTCGCTCACTCTCTCTCACTCGCTCTCTATATATCTTGCTCTCTCACTCTCTCATTCTCCCTCTTACTCTCTCTTGCTCTCTTGCTTGCTCTATCTCTCTCTCTCTCTCTCTCTCTCTCTCTCTCTCTCTTGCTTTCTTGCTCTCTTTCTCCTACGTGTTGTAAGTAAGCTCACAGTTTGGTGTTGGGCTGTATTCATAACCAGCTCTGGCCACATAAGAGTCTAAGCCCCTACCAGCCTTGTGCCTCTCGATCCTCTTGCACATTTCTAGATTCTGCCTCCAGCTCAGATTCTCATGGGTCAGTCTAGACCCTGCCATGTCCAGGACCTGAGGAAACCTCCACGCTCCTCTGACCATGGCTCTCAGCCCTCATCACCAGACAGATGGATATGAATGGGACTGTCTTGGTTCTGCTTGTACCATAGCCCAGCACAGAGCCCCACACAGAACAAGCAGCAGTAAGAGACACAAGTAACCATTTGCTAGAAATCAGAGGAGCTCCACATGGGGTTGGGCTCCAGGGAAAGGGCAGGCATACCACTATTGGATGAAAGGAGCCTAGAGCCCTCAGCTTGCGAAGTCACCCCCATCCCCACCCTGCTGCAAGCTGTTCTACCTCTCCACCCAAATCCCAACCTAGCCCATGCCCTGGGAATCACCTTCCCACTGAAGCTCTGGCCAGAATCAGAAATAGCCTCTGGGGCCATGAATGCCGGGGTTCCTGCCGTACTAGACAGCTGCGCATCATTCCCCTCAAACTGGTTGCTGACACCAAAGTCGGCGATCTTCACGTGCCCATCATCCCCAAGGAGTAGATTGGATGGCTTGATGTCCCTGTGGACAATCTTCTGGCAGTGCACTGCAGAGAGAAGCTAGTGATATGCAAACCTGGGGGATTGATGCCTAGGGCCCTCTCCTGCCTTGGCCCAGCCTAAGAAGCAAGCTGTTGCACCCCAGCCCATCTCTGCTCGTGTTATGAAAGAACCTCAGAAGATGGCATTGGGACCACCTGCTCCATAATGCAATTGAAGACACTGAGGGGAATCTTGGGAGTCTTTGGACTCCAAGTCCAGTGCTCTTTCCTCAGCAAACAAGACATTTCCTGCTGAGGAGGGACGTCACAGGAGAATACAGAGGAGAATTTCTCCATAAGCCCTTCCCATGTTAGCACCGTCTGCAGGCCCAAACAGCATCGAAGCCTACAGCCTCAACCAGGGAATCTTTGCTCCCAGGGCTGAGGCTTGGCTTGTGGGGGCTGTACTGTGCTGCAGACACACAGTACTGCCTCAGCCCAGGGATCCGAATAATAGGGTTTCAGAGAAGGAGGCACCAGGCCTTAGTCGGCACCACCAGGATGGTTGGGGTGAAGGCCAGACATTTCCAGCAGAATGAAGCCAGAGTCAGTAACAGTGCAGAACATTGGGAGCCTGCTTTGTCTCCAGGGTCTCGCCCTGCCAGAAAGGGACACTAATCTGACATCCCCATCAGAGCAAGGAAGGCCCAAATGATGCACATTTGACCATGGAATATAGTCTTTAATTCTTTTCTCAACTCTAGACTTGCCCCTGAACTCAGGCCTGTACACATGTAGATGTCTGACAGATAACAGTATCAATATGCATTTGGATATAGGAACTTGACACCTGTCTACAAGCCCCACCAGCAAGAGAAAACTCCTGTTCTGCCAGGTAGACTGATACATGCCTGTAATCTCAGTTGAGTCAGGAGGACTGCAAATTCTAGACCATCCTGGGCTATATAGCAATACCCTTTCTCAAACACAAAAAGGAAAAAGGAAACTCCACATTTTCCCCTACTGTTCTCTGACCCTAAAGACCTGTTTCAAAAAATTCTCAAAACCACCTCAGCTCGACCTCAGAGCAGGCAGCCAATGGAACCTAAGGCGAAAGTAGCCCAAGCTGGATATAATGGTACACGCCGTCTATCATCCGTCAAAATATTAGAAAGTTAAAAGACCGCAGGAGATGAGGAGACTGGGGCCAGCCTGGGCTACATAGTGACACCTGAGTTTAAAAGAAAAAAAAATATGCCTGTGCATGAGTGTGTGCCTGAGTGCATCCATGTGTGCGTACGTATGTGCGTGTGTTTGCGTGTGTGTGTGTGTGTGTGTGTGTGTGTGTGTGTGTTGCATTTCAAGTGTCTATGTTACTATACCTGCATCCATCATCTAGGCCTTTCTGACCAGCCCCAGCTCTCCCTCCACAAGACCAGAATTCCAAGTCTTTGGGGGCACAGGTGCCTCCCTTATCCTCCTCTCCAGCTCCTGGTGCTAACACTTACCCCGAGATGTCCTTTATTAGAATCAGCTGAGCCCTACGGAGGTTGTAACCTAGAACCCTAGATTAGCATGCATCTGAAGTAGGGTTAGGAGATGGCAGACAGGCCATCAGCAGAGGAGAAGGATCCAGAAAAGGAAGGGAGTGCAGTCAAGCCCTGGAAGGGCTGTTCCTGCCCAGTGCTTACTAGACCAACAGACCAAGAATAAAACGTACCCCTCCTTCCTGCACTATGGGCTCTTACTGGAGTCTACATATTAAACACTTGTCTGTGTGCCTCAGATTCCCTACATGTACAAAGAGAGTGTCAATCTGGAGACACGAGAGGGGCTCAGCAACATAAAGATGTCCCATGTCACTGTGGGTTACGCCTCTGCTAGGGAGGGAGAATTCACAACAGGTCCAGATGTCAGAGAGATGGGCAGCACCCAATTTCCCGACTCAGGCCAGGACCCTAAGTCTCTGAGGGCCCTCCTCTCCTTAGACCAGTTAGTCTCCCCATGCCGGCCACCCTACTTCCTCCCCCATCCTACTGCTACTGCTCTAATCCCGACCTCACCATCTGTCACTTGAGCTGTGGAAATAGCCTGCCCCTGGCCAGCTGGCTGCCTCTCACACCCCATCCAGCCACCACACAGCTGCCAGGCAGCGCTTTCTAAGAAGCAAATCCCACCAGGCCTTCCTCTGCTCGGAGTCCTCATAATACTGACAGGATTCAGTCAGAAAGTCTTCCCCAGCGATGGTTCCAGGCCTCGCGATATGGCCTGGACAATGATCCAGCACAATTGCTCGTTAGCCACCAGGCCATGCCACTTGGATGCACCATCCCGACGGAACAGCCCCACTCCTCTCTTGCCTCTGCCTGACAGTCTCTCCTACTATCAACCCTCATAGCTGGCCAGTAAATCCCGACTCTTCAGGACCTGATCTCAGCCTCTTCCAGAAAGCCTGTGCGGCACTGTGCTTCCGCAGCCCTGGCAGGCATAACTTGCTGCACAGAGCTCCCTTGGTCCTAGACCATCATCTGTGACCCAAGAAGGTGCATATAAGTGAGTGAAGTGAATGGATGAAATAAAGGAATAAGTGAACGTACTTCCTGGCCAGAAGCTATGCGTCCCTGAGCTCTTGCCTTAGAGGTCCTTCCAGCTAAGCCTATCCCGCCATCGACACAGGCACGATGCCAGGACACACTCTTCCCTAAGCAGCTCGACATAAATCTCTTCCATCCCACACCTCCTGATGTTCTGCAGAGAGGAGAAGCTTGGATAGAACCCAGCGGAAAAGACCGGGACAGAAAAACCACGCAGAGCCACACAGTGGTGAACGCAAAGCACACAGCGAAGAATCTGGCGCATGCCCAGAAGTCCACTAGGTCCTCCCACACACACACCTCTCCGCCCCTTTCTCCACTAAAGCTGATTGGTAGACCAGCGCTGACTGACAGAGGGCCTCAATGGCTGTTTAGCGTGGGCACAGCCCGCTCCTATGTACTCTAGATCAAGTCCCCGTGGACAGGCAGTCTCACTCACAGTACTCAAGGCCCAGGATGATGTCCCGGAGGTAGAGGCGAGCTTGCTCCTCTGGGAAGGGCTTGTCGCAGGGCACTTCCATGACTGGCCTGCGAGGAAGGAGGGAGGACTGTTGAGTGGAATCAGGAGTACCGAAGGCTGCAAGGAATGGGGAACAGGGGCCCTCCTGGGATCCTGGTGCTCATGGGTTCATAGAACTTAAGATACTAGCTTCTCCCATATGCCAAAAAAGTTGTGCCCTATCTATCTCTTTTCAATTATAATTTCAAGGCAAATTTATCTCCCTTTCCACTGGCGAGTAGTTCTTGCAAGAATTAAGTTTAACCGAATAATTACAAAGGTACCATTTAAACCAGTGGCTCTAAACTTGTGGACCTAGACTCAAGGGTCAGGAAGTCAATCAAGGGGGTCCGTTTTTCCTTGTCTAATGAAATACAATGTTTCAGAATGTATAACATGTGATAAAGATAGGCATAGACGGTGTTGCAGATTATCAGTTACAGACATGGGCAGCAATACAAACTTACATTTTAAAAAAACTAGTGTGGTGAAGCACACTTTTAACCCCAGTATTCAGGACGCAGGGTCAGGAGAATCTCTGCAGCTTTAAGGCCAGTCTAGCTGACACAGCAAGTTCTAAACAGCCAAAGCTACATAGTGAGAGCCTGTCTCAAAACAAAAGACAGCCTGGTATGGCAGCAAGTGCCTATAATCCCAGCACTTCAGAGGCCAATGCAGTAGAATCACCATGAGATCAAATGCAGTCAAGTCAACTTAGTGAGGTCCTGTCTCCAAAAAATAACCATATACTTCTTGTTGTTGTTGTAGTGGTGGTGGTGATGGTGGTAGCGGTGTTGTTGTTGTTGTTGTTGGTGGTGGTGGTGGTGATGCTGGTGGTGGTGAGACAGGATCTAACATAGCCCAGGCTGGCCTGAAACTCAATATGTAGCTAAGGAAGACCTTTAACTTCTGAAGTTCTAATCCTCTTAGCTCCACCTCCTGATACAGGTATTAGCTACCATCCTTGGTTTTGGCAGTGCTAGGGACTGAACCCTTGGCGTGGTGCATGCTAGGTAAGTACTCCACCAGCTCAGCTACAGGCTCAGGCCCTAAAAACTTCTTATTTTGAATGCAGGTTTTAAAAACTTGAGTCTTTTAGGAAAGAACTGGTAGAGGGATAGCTCATAAGCTTTATCCAAGGCTCAGCAGTGAAGGGTTTCAGTCCACCCCCCTGTACCCACTCCACTAGTCCATGCCAGCTGCTCTACAAATAGCCTCATATATCAAACAGGGCAGGCAGGCAGAGTTAGAACACCAGGCTCCATCAACAGCTTGCCATGAAACCTTGGGTAGGCTATGTACCTTCTCTGATCCTTGGCTTTCTCTCTGCCATAATCATGAGTTGGTAGTAAATCTCAAAGAACCCTTGGTGATTTAAATGCAAGGATGAGTTTTACATGAAAACATCCTTTCTCCCACTTCCATCCAAATATCTTCCTAGTTTGTCAAGGTCTGACTCAAAGTCCATCCCTCTGCCTGCCTGACTCCCCCAGCCTCCACAAGCCTCACCAGCCTTCATTTGAACAGTCCCAGATCTCTTATTTACCCCTGAGGCAAGAGTTCCCAAGAGCTGGTGTACAGCTCTGCTTTCTCTTGCACTAGCTGGCCCCTGGACAGGGAGACAGAGGGAGGGTAGGAGACCAGGATTAGAAATGACCTGCCTGAACGGGACGGGGAACTCACCCCTTTCTCAGGAGGTCGAACACTGAAAGAAAAGAGAAGACAGGTATCATAAGGCTGTGGGCGGTCAATGCCAAGGTTCCTCCCTGTTTTGGAGAAGGGCAGGGGACAGGACAGGTGAGGTAGGCTCCCCATGGGGCTGGCTGAGCGGATCCTCAGATGCTAACGGAGACTGTCAGCATGGACCCCTTTGCCAGGGAGGAACTGAAGCCTGACAAGGGACAGACATGTTCCTAAAGCTCTAGCCAAACACCCCTGACCAAAGCCTTGCTTTTAGATACCTGAAGCCAGCTCTCCTGCCCCGCCCCCTTTCTGTGATGGAGCAGAAGCCATATGTCTTGCAAGTCCTGGGCCATCCCTAGAACTTCACCTCCAGCCCCTCCCCCCCATCTCATTTCTCCAAATCTCCTCCTAGAAAAGCCCAAGAATCAGTCAGGATAAAGACCTTAAATAATAATATCTATATTAATAATTACAAATGTGCACATTTCCTGACATCAACCCTACAAGATACATACCATCCTTACCTCATTTTATTATTTTGTTATTATAACTATCATTTTTGAAGGACTGGGTATTGAGCCCAGTTCTCCAAGCATGCTGGGTAAGTGCTCTATTGCTGAGTTACACTCCCAACTCTATTATCCCATCTTACAGGTGAGAAAACTGAGGTTGGTTCCCCAGACTCACTGACTCAGCCAGCTTCTTGCACCTATTGAGTACAGAACCATACTGACCCAGACTGGTCAGGGGCAGGGAGTGGGGCCAAGAAATAGTCACTAAACATGATTCATCTAGGTCTCGTTCAGCAGTGCTGCACAAGGGAATCCAGAGATTGAGAGTACAGGAAATCATGGCTACCCGAACTTTCTGTGTGTCCCTGGGGAGCCCTCACTGGGACCAGCCCTAGGCGAATAGCTGTGGGAATGAGCTGGGTCACTCACCCAAATAGAGATTGTCTTCAGCAGGGTCATCCAGGACCTGGTCAGAGGGAGCACAGGGTTTGAGGAGGAATGGAGTTGGGGAACCCAGGCCTCCTGATCTTTTCTAACCCAAGACTCCTACTGTGCCCTGCAGCCACTCTAGATACAGAGCAGGAACTGTACAGGTACCAACAGAGGGGTCTCAGTATCACTGACCTCTCCATCAGCCCTCCCTCCATGTAACAACCCCCGCCCCTGAAGAAGGGATTCATAGTTACCGCCAGGGCTGCCCCTCACCCTCAGCAAGAACACTCTGGACCAGCCTGGACTGCCTCAATACCTCCACAGTCCCATCCAAGGATGGTCTGCCCCCAGTGCCTTACTCACTTGCTCCCTAAGCCCTGGTAGGCAGAGCACCCACCCCACCCACCCACTCACCCATCCACCAAGTTCCAGTACCCTCGCCACACCTCCTACCTCGATCAATTTGACGACATTCACATGGTCCAGCTTCTTCAGAATGGCAATCTCCTGGTACACGCGCTCCAGGGGCAACAGCTGTTTGGCTGGCCCTCCCTGGGCAGCTTGGGATCCTCTGGGGGGAGGACGGCCTGCGACCAAAAAGTGAGTCAAGGCCCTGATCCTGGAGAAAGACCCTCACAAGGCTGAGATGCACTTCCAGTTCACCAAGCCTAGTCCATCCCCAGGCCTTCGCTCCTGGTTCCCACCCTCTACCCCGACTCCTAAACAGACGTAGTTAGGGACCATTCCCTCCTCCTCTGCCCTCACCCCCCGGCCTAGGAGCTCCCAAGGTCAAGGCATACATACGAGGAAAGCCATATTGCTTCAGTAACTTCTTTTTGGAAAGAACTTTCATTGCCTGTGGAGAAAGGGACAGAAATATCATATGTGTGCACCCACCAGGGGCTAGAAAAAGCCAGTCTCATGGGGACTGTGGTCAGGTATATGTCTGCTAAGTCATATGCATATGTATACTAAACTGAGCCTAGGCCTTCCTCCTGTTCTCTCTTCAGGGGAAGCCAGGCTCTGCTTACATATCCCCCAAAACAGGAAGTTCATTCCCTTATCACACCCCAGGAACAGGAAGCTCCCCCTAAGAAGTAGCCCTAGCCCCTTACCCCAGCACTTCTCCCTACTCTCCAGGCTTCTGGGGCCTGACCTGGGCAACACCCATTCCCAGCTCAGACTCACATAGTGTCTGTCTTCACTTTCGTTGTAGGCCAACCTCACCACACCGTAGGCACCCTGCAGAGAGCCATCAGTCAGCCCCACAAAACAGCCACATTCTCAACAGCTCAGGTCCTGGCCTCTGCACCCCAACCCCACCCTATCTCCTACCATCTAGTTCTGGGGCTCACATTTCCAACTGATGAGGAGGGAACTCCTACGCCCGGGGAACTACCCACCCCTGTCTCACAGCTCCATGCAGCCTCTTGTCTCCCCTGGTCTCCATTAAGAACCTTGGGGGTCAGGAATCGGAAGTTATCCTGCCCTCCTCTGATAATATGCCAGTCAGGCTGGGTGTTCCTGGCTCTGTTCCCCACTCCCATCAGAGGGAAAGAAGGGTGCTCAGAGAGGACTCTGCAGCACCGCCCCTCACCCCCTTCCTGCCCAGGTCCTACCTTGCCAATCTCACTCTGCAGCTTGTACTGGTTCAGTTGCACACAGTCCTGGGGGGAAGACAGCATCAAGGACAACTCACTCATATGCAACAGTGTTCCCATCCAGGGATGCAGTGCTCCCATCTAGGGACACTGTTCAGGGCCCAGCTTCTACTTCCCAGACCCGAAGCTCACCAGCCTTTCAACTTTGGATGGGGAAGACTGGAGGGTAGCCATTGCCACCACAAGAGACAGAAGCCTCGGGTGATATGTGAAGGAAGATACGATGGGTGAAGCCCTGGCTATGCTGCGCTTCCATCAGGACCCAAGTTCACATTCAGATCCAAGCCTATGAAGGACCAGGAACTGGAAGCACACTGCAGTTTCTAAGACAGAGTAGTCTCAGAGACACGATCACGGCTCAAGCTTGGGTTAGGGGTAGAGACATAAACAATCTGTTTTTAAAGCTCTACAAAGGCTTCTTAGGAACAAGAGAGGGCCCTACACCTGGGCTGAGGGTGGGGAAAAGACAGGAGGTAGCCCTTGATTCAGATGGCCCTTTCCTGCTCTTAGGTAGTAAGCTTCTCGGTGAGCTCTAAAGGTACGCAAACCAAAGAAAGCTAAGCATCTGGTACATATTTGGTGGGTGAAAACCCAGGCTTTCCTGACAGGTCTATGAGCAACTTCTAAGTCCACCTCACCAACCTCCGTGTCTGAGATGGCCACATGGTGGGACTCGATGGTGGGTCTCCGCCAGGCCCGAGGAGAGATGTGACTGGCAGGTCCTGTAGAGTAAGGCCCAACCTGGGCCTCCAGACAGCTTCCAGCTGCTCGTTCCTGCAGGGAGAACTTTCTAGCTGAGAGGCTGGGACGCACTGGAGTGAGTCTTGAAGCACTGCCAGGGATCACAGAGGCAGCTCTGGCCCGGGGTGGAGGGGCCACACCATTCCTGGCAGGCTCTGGACCCTCATCTGCCTCTTCCAAGTGGGCCACATTGATGGCTGCCACCCGATCTACCAGCTCTGCTCGAGGGTCTTGGCAGCAGACGGCTGGGCCGCTCTCCATCACTTCAGTCAGTGGCTATTCTGTAGAACCTTGTTGGGAGCCATGAGAGAGGAGAGAGTGTCATTCCTGACCAGGCAAGTGGACTGGGTCTAAATCCTTTTCCTTCTATGGCCACAGTGCTACCTCCCGGATATTCCCTTGACTTGGCTTACTGGCACCCAGTAGCTCACCTAGCTCTGCTGCATGCCCTTAGTGTCCTGCCCATAAAACAGGTACAGTCTCTTCTGCTCTGATGGCTACATAGAAAGGGGCAACAAAACTGATGCTGCAGTGAGGACAGACAGATGCGGGGAAGACCTGGAAGCCTAGTCACACTAAGGCACGGAGTCCCAGGTCAATTCAGTCCCAACTATACAGGCTGCTCAGTGGCTCAGCAGTTGATGTCCTTGCTGAGCATTCTAGTACAGCCCATAGAAGTAGGCAGGGCACTGGAGCTGCAGACCCAGACACCTCCTCCAGGAAAGCCTCCTAGATGTCCCAGACCTTCGCTGCAGTCCCTCTCAGTTTTTAAGAGCATTTCCTGAGGTCTCTGGCTTCTATCATCTCCTCTCACTATCTTCAAGACCCCAAGGTAAATCTGGTCATTCACCTCTCTGCCCTAGTAGAGCTGCCAGCCCAAGGGAGGGTACCCTAGGGAAGGGGCCACCTTGGGGTCCGCCACACAAGACACTAGTGCAGTTGCTATATTCCTCCTGTTTTGTTTTTCCAGCCTGCCCATGTGACCAAATGTCCCATACAGTTGCTCTGCTGGAGCCAAGGTGCTCCTGGGGCTGGCTTCACACATTCCTCCCATCTACTGCTTCCTGGGTCCCCAACCTGCTCAAAACCCTAGCAGTAGCCCTGGCTTGAGCCTCCATCCCCAGCCTCAGCCCGCCATCACCCTTAACTACACACTGGCCCTGGCAGAACCCTGACTTACTCTCAGACCAGGACCACCATCTCCACCACAGCCCACATGCTGGCTCCACCCCCACCCAAAGCTCCCTCCTTACAGGGCCTCATTCTGCATCTTCTCAGAAAAGGAAGTAAGTGGACTCCCGAACCCCTGCCCTTCCGGTTTGTTGGTGACTTCCTCTATCCTGACTGCAACTCAGAGAACACAGGTCCCATGGGTGCCATGTTCACTCTACCTTTGGCTCTCCATCTTCATTTACCTTTGTAAATGAAGGGACAGGTGGTAGGGCCAGCTGGAATGCCATAGCCACTGGTAGGAAGCCACCTCTGCTGACGACCTACACAGCTCTGGGCAAGCCAGGCTCCCCTCTTTACTGTGGATGCTATGTCTACCTAGCTGCCCTGGCTACTGTCATGTTTGGAGGTAGACTGTAATAGGGCAAAGGTCAGAGCCTCTGCCTGGCTCCCCCACTGCCCTAATAGAGCTGCCAGCCCAGGGGAGGGTATACTAGGGGAGGGAGTGCCACCTTGGGGTCCGCCACACAAGACACTAGTGCAGTTGCTATATTCCTCCTGTTTTGTTTTTCCAGCCTGCTCATGTGACCAAATGTTACTCACATGTGCTGAGTGCTAGGAGCCAGGAGGCAGCAGAGGCAGCAGAGCTGCTGCTAGAGAAAAGAAAGGAAGAAGGTGGGGGAGACTTGTACTGGAGCTTTGAGAGGCTTCCTTGGAAGAGGTGAGGAGGGTGAGGAGAGCTTCCTCCCTCTAGCTCATTCCCCATAGTGTAGGCCTCCCCACCAGGTCCTAAGCCCTGAAACTAGTTCTTCAGTTTGCTTTGTCTCCGTAAGATCACTTGTGTCCTCAGCAGTGCCTGGCACGTAAGAGCTCGATAAATATTTGCTGAATACTAGTGGTCACCATAGTGATCTCTGCAGCCCTGGTCCCATTACATGGATGGGAAAGCACCCTCAGTGAGAAAAAGTCAAGCAGCATCAGGTTGCAGACCACATCGGGATGGAGGACATAGTCAGATGTGAGCCTCCAGCAGAGAGAGGCCCCAGGCTGGCCTGGGCCATAACTTTTGCATATAATTTCCCTATGGCTACAACTCCTGAAAGGCCGTCTTTCTTTAGCTCCCTTTTCCTTAGACAGGGTGGGCTGGGGAGAATGGAGGGAGTGGGAGGAAGGAGGGTAAGGATGGGTCTGGGATCACACAGCAAGTGGGTGCAGAAGTCTTCCTATTCTAGTCTAAGGACTATTACCTGGCTTGGCACCCAGGCTAGGGTGGCCAGGCTGCCTATGTCCTGGCTGTTAGGGGTCAGGAGGGCAGATAACTTCTGGCATGTCTCATTGGTGAAATGGGCCATGGGGCCACATGCACCCATGTGGTTGTAAGGTGTAAAGAAGCTGATGAAGTCAGGGACACAGAACAGCGGTTGCTACTAACAAGCTCCAAAGCATCGAGCTGTGACTGCATGGGATGAGCTGGGGCCCAGATGGATGTGAGGGTGGCTGTGGGAGGAGGTTGTGAGAGCTGACGTCAGGCTCTCCATCCATCCCTCCCTCTCGTCTGGATCAAATTCAGGTGACTAAGCCTGGCTTGGCTGGAGAAAGGCAGCAGGGGAGGCCCAAAGTTTCTGCCCAGTGTCTTGGAGACAGGGCCTTGTGCCTGGCCTGCGGCTGTGCTGTATGCATGGGCTTGTGTCTGACTGGGGAAGAAGAATATACTGGAGGAAGCTGGAAACTGGTCTGCCTGTGCTGTGAATCTGCACCTAGCAGCACAACTGTGCAAACAGCTCTCATTCATATTCATTCTCTCTCTCTCTCTCTCTCTCTCTCTCTCTCTCTCTCTCTCTCTCTCTCTCTCTCT